AAAACAGTATTTTTTCATTCACATTTACCACAAAAACCAAGGTAGGAATACTGTCGTCTGCATGTTTTGTTAATCATCTGTATAATTACTATTTTGGAGATTCACAGACTTTACCCTCCCTACACCTCTGATGAATATAACAGGAAACCTAGTTGATCACCATGCACTGAAAAATAATTCTGGCTATGGATACAGAGAACATCAACACATTAATATCAACACGCCAGAGGACATACCCATTGGACTTGCGGCTCTGCTGGGAGTTTACCTCATATTTAGATTTTTTAATTCTGCTTTGCCATTAAAATCATAATAAAAACTGACAACTAAAATAATGTGTTATTGTTGTTATTGTTATGCAAATTATTATTATTAATAATAATAATAGGGGAGGGGGGTAGTTCAAAAATGAACCCCAAAAGGTTCTACAAAAGGTTATTTGAGGACCCATTAAAAGGGGTTCCCACACAGTTTCAATTTGAAGAACCCCTAAAGGATACTCCAGGAACCTTTTCTTTTTAGAGTGTATTTAGATCGGTTGCGACATAAACTGTTCGTCCTCGTCCTTGGTTTTCATAGTGGAACAATTCACGGTGGTAATATCTGCATTCTATAGCACATAGGGTTATTATGACTTCCAATAAGTCTCTCGAATTTTTTAAGACTAGTTACAGTAAATATAGTTGCATACTGATGCCGTCAAGCCAAAAATCAGATAGGCCTAGACAATCCACTGTTCCTTTGTTAACGATTTATCATTGACTGCTGGAGAAGAAGGGAGTCGCTAATACAAAAAGTTAAAGCAAGCAACCGGGGTTATATTTGTGTAAAGGCTATCAGTGAATGAGGAGGATTAGAAAGAGTTAAGGAGATTATCTCGCACATTCACAACCCCCCCCCCCCCCCCCCCCACACACACACACACACACACACAAACACACCACACACCCTCACATATGATACATATGATAGTTAACATTTAAAAATCAAGCCCCACAAAAACTAGCATAGCCTAGCATAGAAACAATTGTGTGCAATAAAGCTCATTGTACTAAATATATAATATAATTTACATTTTGTGAAAGCAATTATTTCCTTTATATGTAAGAAACGTTTAATAAAATACGTTTTATTTTTTTATACAGTATCTGTTTCTCCAGGCCCATCCTTCAGCTTTTACCAAAACCAAAACAGAGGCAGATACCCGCTTTGTTATTGTTTCAGTTAAGGATTCTAGCTTTAACACATTCGTTTTATTTATCTATAACATACTTAGAGAAGTTAGTACTTGGACCAGCTCGAGCATGCTCAAAACTGACTAAACCAAGCAAGCCATGATGAAGGCATTTTTAACGGTGAAAGACATGACAACGACTAATTGCAATTAACTACGCCATTGTACCACGCCCTTGTCCGTTTAAATCGACACTTTAAACGTCCATATGATATCTGGGCTACCGTGGGAATGCTCAGAATTAAAAACAGAATTATGGATTTCTGGAGTTACCGGGCGAAAGCGTCGCAAGCTGTCAAGGTCAGGGTGTCAATGATGGGTCTACGGGTGTGGATCCCTCGCCCCGGCTCCCCGGCACACCCTGCTCCTCAGACGAAGAGGAGAGGCTGCATCTTTCCGCCCCGGCAAGTGGGCACAGGGGGCGAAGGAGAGACCACCACACTGCTCTAGTTTAGGCTACATTAGCGTGTGCTAATGACCCAGAACCCCTACATCGTTGCGGACTACAAAAGGTCTATGGGAACCGCCGTCTCTGTCTTTCACACATAGCCCTGGAGGGATGCCCAAACGGTCTACCGTTGACAAAATCCATAACTCACCCTCTCTCAATGATAATCGATCGACATTCGTTTTAGGCAATACTAGTAACAACTCACTTTCAAGTTAATGCACCATGCACATATGCGCAACAGGTGCACATTCATTCGTGCTCAAAGTTCTATCCAAATAACATTTGGATAAGGCTATGTGGAGTTGCCTAAAGCAGCTAAATTTAACCAAACCTATGAAACACGTTACAAATATGTTAACTAGCCTTTGAAGAGAAGGTTGCACCTATTAAAACATTTGCACACAAATATTATAGACGCAGCAGTCAGATAGAATGGTGAGAAATAGAGAGAACCGTTCAATAGCAATGCACAACACCCCTTAATATTAATTCACCGAAAGCCGCATCTATACAGCCCAGTGTTTTCTTTCCCACTTCACTTGCCTCGGAGCCAGCCCCTGTGAGCCGGGTGACGTCATGCTGGCACACAGAAGATGGGAGTAGAAAGCATGGAAAAGCTAAGTGGGTGAAGCAAGTGGAGTTCTCCACCTTCCGCCTTTTCTGACACTTCTAATAAATATTACTAAGCTAAAGACTCGCATCAGAAAGTCACATAGGCTTCGGGTTTGAACAATAATTATTTTACCAGTCCTTGTTTATCAGTTAAGAAGAGCCTTGTTTTTTGTTAGTTTAGACTGTACTCGCTGGGTAGTCCGTCTGTTCTGGAGCGCCGATCCGGCAGTTTTCTAAACAACTTTGTGCGCGGTGTTGCGCTTGGAGCAACTGAGGATTTGTTGCCACTCGCCCCTTGTAGACGGCTCTCTATCCGGCTTTCGCGCTGCTGTCCACACGGCCTGGACCTTGTGTGACTCAACGTCCAAGACTTGCAAATTCTCCCAAATCCATCTTGGTACCTGGAATTTGGTAATCCTGGGAAAATATAGAGTTGGGCGACATTACAGAAATCGAATTGTTTTAGGGGAAGCTGTAGGCTATATTTCATGTTTTGATATTCTTCAGCTGATACTTTTGCACCGACAGTGGATTTTGATTCTTAAAATATAAAATAGTGTAGAACGACACTGTCCACGATGAGCAAACCCGCCTGTTCAACAAGTGGTTGTTTGGATATTCTGAATGTTAAATCAAGTAAGTAGGCTACAGTTCCTATTTGTTCTTCACCTACAATTAGGTATTCATATCTTTAGAATTGTATTAATTCAAACATGTATTAATAAAAAAAGTAATAAGATATTATGTGAAAAGCGTTGAAACGTTCCGAAATTACAATTTGCGTTTACCTTGGAGTTGCTGTATCTGCTAACCCGTTTTATAACGGATTTATAATTATGAAGTCAATTTTGTTAAATAATTGTGCAAGTTCTAGGCCTACTCCCCACAAATATGACTAATTGAGCACTGGACAAGATTATGCGCTGTATATAGGCCTAGGCTTATACTTCTTATTTTTCCTGTTTAGTTCTAGTTATTTGTTGCTTATCTAGCTTATTCTCTCATGGAAAAGTACACTGCATCATTCTGCTCGGGATGTGATGTTTATTTCTAAAAATAAGAGTTACAAGACTGAGGAGGTGAGAGAAAGAATAGAGGTAAAACATGTCAAATGGGTTAGGGTTAGAATGTTCCTGAAATAGTGTGCGAAAGACACATACTATCTAGGCCTACATGGCTGAAAGAGAACACAAACTATAGGCTATAGCTTCTTGCTGTTTCCAATTTAAAGTCCGGCACTTGGAAAGACTATAGTGAGGTTTATCGAGGTAGGACAATGGGCCAATGTGCTTCCATGGGATGATAGCCCAGTCAGCTAATTTATTGATAAACAACTTTGTCTTGATGATGTCTATTTGTCAATATGTGTGTGTGTGTGTGTGTGTGTGTGTGTGTGTGTGTGTGTGTGCGTGCGCGCGCACGCGCATGTTGAAATACAGAATGTGTGTGCAAAAAACTGGAATAATGAGACAACAATTAGCCATATATTATGTATTCTGTACTAGCTTACATTAATTTTTATTCTTACATTAAGTGTTGCTAAACTTTATGCACGTCCAAACGAAATATGCCTAAAACGCATAGGTTATTATTCGTTTCACCAATGCCTGCTGGCTGGTTGCTATTTTGGCCTATTCGCATAGGCCTTGGCAAATCTCAGGCAGTAGCCTAATCTACAAGTATTCACTTTCATATAGCTTTTTAATTAGAATAATTTACATCAACATCACAATCATTATTGTAGCCTAATATTGCTTTCCTCCAAGTTCATTGCACACCTTGTGTGTGGGTGGTCACGAAAACCTTTCGCTCAGTCAGTAAAACTCAGTCTAACTTATTTCAGCAGGTTTTGGGACTGATGGTAATTAGGGTAATGGAATATGCCATATATCTTTAAGCAATTACCGCACACAATGGCGACGACTGGGACCCCCATTGAGAGAAGTTAAAGACGTGTTCCCCCGCACACCAAAATCAAGTGTCATTCTTATTTTATTTTCCTCCAACAACAGCATTATATTAATTCTGCCCTTTATTAGTGCGTAGGCCTAATTATAATTGTTCAGTGAGGACAACATTGTGATATTGGATTAATTCGTTATATGAGACCTATTAGAGTTTCAGATGCACAATTAGGCTATTGCCAACTTGTGTTGATTGTTTCAAAGGTTATACAGTCATTATTTTTTTAACGAATAGTTTGAGTAACTTCGTTTAAGCCTATTTATTTGTTTTTGTTGTAGCCATGGCATCAAATCTTTTTTCAAAATCTTTTCACCCCGTGATATAGAAATGTAGCCTAATAGACAACCACTCTCGACACGTTGCATAATTGGTGTATTGAAGTCCCAACTCTTCGCCGAAATCGATTGTTTTTGCTGCTCTGTCGTTATGGGGTCGTATCCGAATTCCCATGCTACCCTTTTTGATGGGTGAATCAATGAGCAGGTGGCAAAACGTCAGTGAAATTACATAGCCGGCGTGTCCCGTCATAAAAATACTCCCTCATATACATACAAATATAATTATTTTAAATAGATTTGAATACAAATCAGAAATACAGAAATCATTTTTTTTTCATTTACTCCCGGGTCGATTTACATACACTTCATTTGAGTTGGTGCGCATTATTCTCTGTGCCGTCTCACTCCCTAATCCACAGGCCTATAGACCTGCGGGATAAAGCAGCTGTCGATTTCCATTATGAGGGGGAGTTGGCAGCTTGTCGAGATCGGGGCAGTCAGACGAGGTTCAATGGGGAAAATCATTAAGTTAACACTTTCCCTAATGTCTCCATTGTGTGCCCCCCGGCATTGTCTTTAGAGACCTCAGATATGACGCTTCCCACGAACTCACAAGAAACGCGCGCGCGGGTACATGCCCATGGCCGGGCGACCTATTAAGGCACAGGACACTGCCCATTGTCACGTTGTGTATTTTGTTTTGTCGTCCCTCATTAACAGGGAGGGAGGGGGGTGATGAGGTGGAGGGGGTACAGTGCATGATTTTGGATGCAGAATTTATTATGATGGGTGCTCTTCCAAGCCTTTTATGACGCGTAAAACACCTTTCTGATTCTTGATTTTGAGCCACAAAATACATTAACTATCAAAAGGAATAAAGATTAATTAATTAATTTGTATTTATTTTTACCCAGGTCGTATCTTGGATATCCCGTGTAAAGTGTGTGGGGACCGGAGCTCTGGGAAACACTATGGCGTGTATGCGTGTGACGGCTGCTCTGGCTTCTTCAAGAGGAGCATCCGCAGAAACAGAACATACGTCTGTAAATCAGGCTCTCAGGTAATAGGCCTAACTACAGTGTTTCTCCATTTCATGTTAAATCTATTTTCAATTCAGGCTGTGACTTTCTCCTAAATGTATGCAAATATTACCTGTAGTTTTGGTGCACACATTACACATTTTACGCGTCTTAAGTTATTGGCCAGCCTTGAGTCTGCAGGGTTCAATCTCCCCTGAGATGTGTCTCTGAGAGGGCCCAGCAATCCAGGGCACGGCAAGGCCTAATTGCATCGCCTACCATGGCCATTGACTGGCGTTAAACACAGTCCTGCTTTAATTTATCAGGTGTAATCCAATCTAATGTAATGACACTAACCCGAGGATTTAGCCAACAGTGGGCAGGATATCCCTACTTATCCTCGGGGATAAGACCGCTGCTGAGCCGCGGGGGATCGAGTCAATAGCTATGATAATAACACATCCTTCACCTGTAGATTTTCCTCTCCCTCAAACAACGTGTTGATTTTCTTGTTCACTCACTGTGCCAGAGCAATTAAACTGAACTGTGATTCTCTCTCTCTCTCTCTCTCTCTCTCTCTCTCTCTCTCTCTCTCTCTCTCTCTCTCTCTCTCTCTCTCTCTCTCTCTCTCTCTCTCTCTCTCTCTCTCTCCCTCCCTCCCTCCCTCCCTCCCTCCCCCCCTCACGCTTTCTGTCTTTCTCTCTCTCTCTCTCTTTTCCAAAATAGGGAGGATGCCCCGTGGACAAAACGCACAGAAACCAATGCCGAGCGTGCCGCTTGAAAAAGTGTCTCGAAGTGAACATGAATAAAGATGGTAAACAGGCTTAATTGAATTATTATTTTGGCTATGGCAGTGACATTTCGGTTTAAAGGTGGCCAAATCGGATGGAAACTGTATTTAACAGAATCAGCTGAGAGCGGGGTAAACAGAGGACGTATTCATAAATTTCTCATGAGAGGCAAAGCCTTTTACCTCAACAAGCTTCGAACAAAATAAAAAAGTTTATAAATAAGGCATTCACAGACCATTATTTTACTAAATTATTGTCCCTGCTCTCCAATTTCACAGCCGTTCAACACGAGAGGGGTCCCAGGACGTCTACCATACGCAAGCAGGTCGCCCTATATTTCCGGGGGCACAAAGAGGTGAACGGTTCTTCGACCCACTTCCCGGGCTCGAGCCTACCGGGGCCGCCTTTTTTCACTACGGTCACGCAACTGGAGCCACATAAATTGGAGATGAGCACAGTAGCCTGCACCCCGGAGAGGCAGGCCATCGTGGGACTGGCCCAGCCCACCCCGAAGGTAAACTCCTGTCCACTTCTCACCCTTCACTCATGGAGCAGCGCTATGTGGGCAAGGAGTCAACGAGGCCAAGCACGTTGTAAAGTGATTAATTTTTTCCACTTTTCAGCGCTTTAGAAGTTGATATTCTGGTCCTGATTCAGCAGCTTCGAGTCACATAATCTGTCATTCATATTTTCACCTAAATCCAATGCAGGCAACATGAGTTTATAGTCTACATCTTAGTCTAGTGTTGGTGCTTAGAGTTTTATGAGATACACACATAGGCCTATTTGTCACCAACGTGCAGCATGTTATTTATTAGTCCTATACCAAATTATTTTTATTTTATTCAAATGGAACCCAAAGGCGCTATTTGTTTATTGACCTCTTGCATTGTAGTACCCTCACGAGGTCAGCAGCACGCCCATGTACCTCTATGAGGTCGCTACTGAGTCCGTCTGTGAGTCAGCCGCGCGCCTGCTGTTCATGAGCATTAAGTGGGCCAAGAGCGTGCCTGCCTTCTCCACGCTCCCCTTACCTGACCAGGTAAGCCACTATATTCAGTATATGGATATTATAGGCTAGATATTAGCCAATTAGCGACATTATTAAGCTATCCCTTTCCAAAGAGAACAGTTACAATTCCATAGCCCTATATTCATTAATCAAATAATATGACTAATGTGTGCAAATCATAAATCCCTATCCACATTTTCTTAAAAGTATATTACCTATACTCATGGGGCGCTGACTGAGGTTTGTAATCCGTTTTGCAGCTGATCCTCCTGGAGGACGCCTGGAGGGAACTTTTTGTTCTGGGCATAGCGCAGTGGGCCATTCCGGTGGACTCCAACACCCTGCTCGCTGTTTCCGGTATGTAATCCAAATGATCAACAGCTTAACTCTATTTATTAGACTTAGGCTACTTACTATCATGTTTTGTTTAGATTATTTCTGTTTCAGTTCCCTAAGATTTAAATGTGGCGTTGGAAAGAAAACGAAAATGGAGACAGATTTTCCATTCATTTTCTGTTTTTAGAAATATTCACATTATCCTCAATACAATGTAACTAAACTTTGTAAATGTTTGTGCATATGTTTTGTAGCTAATATCGTTATTGTCCCCCCCTCCATATTTGAAGGTATGAATATAGACAACACAGAATCCCAGCGGATGAATAAAATAATCTCAGAAATACAAACCCTGCAAGAGGTAGTTACCTGCTTCAGACAGCTGCGTCTGGACGCAACTGAGTTCGCCTGTTTGAAGTGCATCGTCACGTTTAAAGCTGGTGAGTTAAAGAGGGGGTACTCAAAAATTATTTTAAAGGAAATTATCCTCACTAAAGTCATAAGAAGGCAGGGTTGGGGTCAATGTCATTTGAATTCAGTAAAATAGCCAGACATTCGTTGGTGGGGGGACAGCAATTCTACACATTTTGCCATTGGGCAAAGAGAAAAATTTGCAGCTTTATAGCTAATCTCATGCTATTCTACACATTTCGCCATTAGGCTGAGAGAAAACGTTGGTATACAGAAGATAGCCCTATTTGGTAAAATACCAAGTCCATATTATGGCAAGAACAGCCCAAATAAGCAAAGAGAAACGACAGTCCATCATTACTTTAAGACATGAAGGTCATCAATACAGAACATTTCAAGAACTTTGAAAGTTTCTTCAAGTGTAGTCGCAAAACACATCAAGCGCTATGATGAAACTGGCTCTCATAAGGACCGCCACAGGAATGGAAGACCCAGAGTTACCTCTGCTGCAGAGGATAAGTTCATTAGAGTTACCAGCCTCAGAAATTGCAGCCCAAATAAATGCTTCACAGAGTTCAAGTCACAGACACATCTCAACATCAACTGTTCAGAGGGGACTGTGTGAATCAGGCCTTCATGGTCGAATTTCTGCTAAGAAACCACTACTAAAGGACACCAATAAGAAGAAGAGACCTGCTTGGGCCAAGAAACACGAGCAATGGACATTAGACCGGTGGAAATTTGTCCTTTGGTCTGGAGTCCAAATTTGAGATTTTTGGTTTCAACTGCCGTGTCTTTGTGAGATGCGGTGTGGGTGAACGGATTATCTCCGCATGTGTAGTTCCCACCGTAAAGCATGGAGGAGGAGGTGTTATGGTGTGGGGTTGCTTTGCTGGTGACACTGTCTGTGATTTATTTAGAATTCAAGGCACACTTAACCAGCATGCCTACCACAGCATTCTGCAGTGATACGCCATCCCAGCTGGTTTGGGCTTAGTGGGACTATCATTTGTTTTTCAACAGGACAATGACCCAACACGCCTCAAGGCTGTGCAAGGGCTATTTTACCAAGAAGGAGAGTGATGGAGTGCTGCATCAGATGACCTGGCCTCCACAATCCCCAAACCTCAACCCAATTGAGATGGTTTGGGATGACGGCAGAGTGAAGGAAAAGCAGCCAACAAGTGCTAGCATATGTGGGAACTCCTTCAAGACTGTTGGAAAAGCATTCCAGGTGAAGCTGGTTGAGAGAATGCCAAAAGTGTGCAAAGCTGTGATTAAGGCAAAGGGTGGCTATTTGAAGAATCTCAAATATTGTCACGCTCTGGCTCCGGGACTGTGTAGTTTGAGCCAGGGTGATATTCATTTGGTTGTGTTGGGTATGGTTTCAGGTTGTGTTTGGTTTGTGTGTGTTGTTAGCAGTACTCCAATCGGAGTAACGAGTGTCAGAATCTCTGATGGGAGCATTTAAATGTCAGTGTTCACTTAGGGTGGTGGAAAGTGGTGGATTTTGAAGATCTTTGATGTTTCATGTTGCAACGCGCTGCGCTTTGGTCTCCCTCATTTGACGATCGTGACGGAAAAAACCCACCAAAAAAGGACCAAGCAGCGTGTCCAGGAGCAAGGAGACTGGACATGGGAGGAAGCGCCGGGTAAGGAGATCGAGAGGCTGGCGATGGCCCAGGTGGGCAAATCGTGGTCCTGGGAGGACATGCTCGGGGGCAAGGGACCTTGGGGGAGGATCAAGGCCCTGGCGAGAGAGGAGCAACGGCGTCAGCAGGGCCATCGTCGGAGGGACGAGAGGCAACCCCAAAAAGTTTTTTGGGGGGGGCACATGGCTTGGGCGGCTGGGCAGCAGGAGGCTGCCACAGGGAGACGTGGAGAGAAGGCTACCGGATTACGGGAGCCATTGGCGAGTAGAGGGAGGGAAGTAGTGGAGGCACGGCGTGAGAGACTGAGGTGTGTTACCAGTCCGGTCCGGCCCGTTCCTGATCCCCGGTTAAGGCCAGTGGTGTGTGTTCCCAGTATGGACCGGCCTGTTCCTACTCCACGCACCAAGTCCACGGTGTGCGTCGCCAGCCCAGCCCGGCCTGTTCCTGCTCCACGCACAAAGCCTACGGTGTGCGTCGACAGCCCTGTCCGGCCTGTTCCTGCTCCACGTACCAGACCTACGGTGTGCGTCGCCAGCCCGGCCCGGCCTGTTCCTGCTCCACGCACTAAACCTACGGTGTGCGTCGCCAGCCCAGCCCGGCCTGTTCCTGCTCCACGCACTAAACCTACGGTGTGCGTCGCCAGCCCAGCCCGGCCTGTTCCTGCTTCTCGCATCAAGCCTACGGTGTGCGTCGCCAGCCCAGCCCGGCCTGTTCCTGCTCCACGCACAGAGCCTACGGTGTGCGTCGCCAGCCCAGCCCGGCCTGTTCCTGCTCCACGCACAAGACCTACGGTGTGCGTCGCCAGCCCAGCCCGGCCTGTTCCTGCCACCCGCACCAAGCCTACGGTGTGCGTCGCCAGCCCGACCCGGCCTGTTCCTGCCACTCGCACCAAACCTACGGTGCGCGTCGCCAGCCCGGTCCGGCCTGTTCCTGCCACCCGCACCAAGTCTACGGTGCGCGTCGCCAGCCCGACCCGGCCTGTTCCTGCCACTCGCACCAAACCTACGGTGCGCGTCGCCAGCCCGGTCCGGCCTGTTCCTGTTCCACGCACAGAACCTACGGTGTGCGTCGCCAGCCCGAACCGGCCTGTTCCTGCCACTCGCACCAAGCCAAGGGTGCGAGTCGTCAGCCTGGTTCAGCTCGTCCCTGCTACTCGCACCAAGCCAAGGGTGCGAGCCGTCAGCCTGATCCAGCCCACTCCTGCTACTCGCACCAAGCCAGGGATGCGAGTCGTCAGCCTGGGGAGGCCCGTTCCGGCTCCACGCATCAAGCCTAGGGTGCGTTTCGTCGGCCCTGTCCGGCCCGTTCCTGCTCCCCGCACCAAGTCTGTGGTGCGTTTCGTCAGCCCTGTCCGGCCCGGTCCCGCTCTCCGCACCAAGTCAAGGGTGCGCTTCGTCAGCCCGGTCCGGCCCATTCCTGCTCCCCGCGCCAAGGCAGTGGTGCGCGTCGTCAGCCTGGTAAGGCCCGTTCGTCCTCCACGCACCAAGCCAGGGGCGCGTGTCGTCAGTCCGGCTCCGGCCAGCGGGGCTAGACAGGACCAGGGGTACTTTGGGGGGTTGGAGAGGAGGTGGGGATCAAGGCCGGAGCCAGAGCCACCGCCGAGGAGGTATGCCCGCCCAGCCCTCCCTTGTTTAGCCCGTATTGAGGCGCGGTCGCAGTCCGCGCCTTTAGGGGGGGGTACTGTCACGCTCTGGCTCCGGGACTGTGTAGTTTGAGCCAGGGTGTATTCATTTGGTTGTGTTGGGTATAGGGTGTGTTCATTTGGTTGTGTTTTGGTTTTGGTTGTAGTGTCTTGTCTCGTCATGTGACTCCCAATCGGAGGTAACGAGTGTCAGCTGTCGGCTCGTTATCTCTGATTGGGAGCCATATTTAAACTGTCAGTGTTCACCTTAGGGTTGTGGGTTTTTGTTCCTTGTCAGTCTTTGTTACTGTGGACTTTACGATTCGTCTATTTGTTTTGGTACTTTAATTAATAAAGTCTATCATGTTCGCTCAACGCGCTGCGCTTTGGTCTCCCTCATTTGACGATCGTGACAAATATAAAATATATTTTGATTTGTTTAACACTTTTTTGGTTACTACATTATTCCATATGTGTTATTTCATAGTTGTGATGTCTTCACTATTATTTTACAATGTAGAAAATAGTAAAAAATAAAGAAAAACCCTAGAATGAGAAGGTGCTTCCAAACGTTTGACTGGTACTGTAGAGTGAGCTCCAAAAGTATTGGGAAAGTGACACATTTTTTGTTGTTTTAGCTCTGTACTCCAGCAATTTGGATTTGAAATGATACAATGACTCTGATGTTAAAGTGCAGACTGTCAGCTTTAATTTGAGGGTATGTTCATCCATATCGGGTTAACCGTTTAGAAATTACAGCACTTTTTGTACATAGTCCCACTATTTAATTGGGACAAATTCACGTGTTGTAAAAAGTCAAGGATTTGGTCCCATATTCATAGCACACAATGACTACATTAAGCTTGTGACTCTACAAATTTGTTGGATGCATTTGCTGTTTGTTTTGGTTGTGTTTCAGATTATTTTGTGCCCAATATAAATGAATGGTAAATAATGTATTGTGTCTTTTTGGAGTCACTTTTATTGTAAATAAGAAAATAATATGTTTCTAAACACGTCTACATTAATGTGGATGCTACCATGATTACGGATAATCCTGACTGAATCGTGAATAATGATGAGTGAGGAAGTTACAGAGACATAAATATGATACCCCCCCATCCCCTGTTATTGTAATGGTGAGAGGTTTGCATGTTTTGTGGGTGTGATATTTGTGCGTCTATGAATTCTATTTGATGTTGTTTGCATGTTTAGGTAAAAATACAAATAATGTTCCGTTTGGAACTCTGACAAGTAGAGAGCATTTTTGTTGTTGTTGCTCAATCTGATTGGGTGGACCTGGCTCCCCGGTGGGTTGGCCTGGGCCCATCCAGGCCCACCCGTGCCTACACAACGTTTTGAATTCCAGTCAATTCAGGAAGTACACTGAAATTCCAATTCCAATTCTCTTCAATGCTTTTCAATTATGAACATTTGGAATTGGAATTTGGTGTACATTCTGAAATTGATTGGAATTTAAATGGAATTGACCCCAACCCTGCAAGAAGGTCATCAATAGGTCAGAAAAAAAGAAAATAAATTGAATAGCTAAGGATGTTAAAGCCAAATAACATGTTTTTTTTTAACATTACAATGCAGATGTCTGAAGTACTTTGGCCAACACGTATGAACATTTCAATTGAAAGCAATGCATTTGTCTGGTGCAGCGTGAATATAATGGCAGTCAGTAACCATGCTGTCTATGCCTTTTCCCTTCAAGCAGTGCCAACGCATGACGGGTCGGAGTTGAGGAGTTTCCGCAACGCCAGTGCCATTGCTGCTCTACAGGACGAGGCCCAGCTCACCCTAAACAGTTACATACACACCAGGTGAGACATTTGATCTAAACAAACAGTTGCTCAATCTTTTTTCCTTAACAGATATGCTCTTGTTTAATTCAGCTATTTGTTCCATTTACCAAAATACTTGGCACACAGGTGGCCAATATGGCCATATTTACTGTATCTACAATAGGCTATTTTGCAGCAAGATAGGTTACCCTGCAAACAAAATGAGTCGTTAGGCCGTCCCCAGAATGTCACGAAATGGACATCAGGACATTGTGCCATTTCTCAATTCTCAATATTGAGCAAATGGCAACACTTTACAACCCAATATGTAGGCTAATATGGTTTTGAAATGATGCGCCCGCAGAGTGTAGCGCACCATTTGCATTGAACACATCAGGTAGCCTAGGGCTACAGACAGAACATTTTTGAAAGGACATTAAATGTACTGATAGATTCATCAACTACATGGCTATTTAGCAACAATATCATACTTAGAGATAGCAATCTAGCTACATTCTTAGAAAAAAGGTTCCTTATAGAACCAAAAAGTGTTCGCTTGCTTCATATATGGAACCTCTAAAAGTTCTATATAGAACCCTTTATAGGGTTCTTTGATCAGAACCCCAAAGGTTCTTCTTCACTGAACCAAAATTGGTTCCATATAGAATCCTGTATGGTGCCATTTATGAATTATGTTTACTACTAATAAATAGTAATATTTTTTGCTAAGAATATAACATAATAAACAATTAAATAATCGACAAAAGAATACCAAACATAGTTTGGAAATATGCACTGGTGGCCAGGGAGTCATCTCTTTGTTTGAATGATGGCCCACGTCAATCTTGGTACCAACTCTGGCTGACTTCTTTATGGAACAAGTACAGTATGGGTTGGTGCCTGGCTGGTTCCTGAGAAAAATAAAAAATGAATAAATAAATAAGCATGAGTTAATCTGCCAAAATGAAGACAAGTAGCTATGCAGACATATAATTATTATGACGTAGAAGAACAACTTACATGCAGCTGTTGTCAGCAGTAGCCAAAGAGAGATCATCTGCCTCTGATAGTTGGGTTACTGCCATACTTTGCAAATAAATACATATTGTGTTAAAGTCCCAGTGCAGTCAAAAACGTGATTTCCCTTTGTTTTATATATATTTCCACACTATGAGGTTGGAATAACACTGTGAAATTGTAAAATGATGATGATTCCCTTTTAGTGTACTAAAACTGTTTGAAAAGACCGCCTGAAATTTCAGCCTGTTTTGGTGGGATGGAGTTTTGGCCTGCCTGGTGACATAAATGAGTTAATAAACCAATAAGAAAGAGAGTTCCAAACCTCTCTGCCAATAACAGCTAGTTTTCAGTTTTCCCCTCCCCACTCAGACCACTCCCAGACAGTCCTAGCAAAATTCTTGCTTCAGTCATTGCTCTTTGCTAAGAAGCTATTTTTGTTTATTTTTTGACCATTTTAATTGAAAACAATTACAGTACAGTACTTCATTGTTACCCATAAATGATTTAATCATGCATTGGATCTTGTGTGAGGCTGCTCAACCATGGAAACCATTTCATGAAGCTCCCGACGAACAGATCTTGTGCTGACGTTGCTTCCAGAGGCAGTTTGGAACTTGGTAGTGAGTGCTGCAACTGAGGACAGACGATTTTTACGCGCTACGTGCTTCAGCATTTGGTGGTCCCGTTCTGTGAGCTTGTGTGTCCTACCACTTCGCGGCTGAGCCGTTGTTGCTCCTAGATGTTTCCACTTCACAATAACAGCACTTACAGTTGACAGGCACAGCTCTAGCAGGGCAGAAATTTGACGAACTGACTTGGAAAGGAGGCATCCTATGACGGCGCCACATTGAAAGTCACTGCGCTCTTCAGCAAGGCCATTCTACTGCCAATGTTTGTCTATGGAGATTGCATGGCTGTGTGCTCGATTTTATACACCTGTCAGCAACGGGTGTGGCTGAAATAGCCGAATCCACTAATTTGAAGGGGTGTCCACATACTTTTGTATATGTAGTGTATTACTTTTTGTCCATATCATCCAGCTCTATGAGAATGTCCTAAAAACGTCCTTGATGACATCCCCGGAACGTACTGGGAACTAGACAGAGCCCTCTTGGACCATGACAACGTACTAACGTGAGCAAACTAGGACCTGTATGAAACATTCCTGTGTGGTCGTTGAATGTCATGAGGAGAACGTCCTGTCAGAGCCAAAAGGGGACGCTCCCTAATGGTCATGAAAATACTTTATTGTAATGTTCTGTCGGTAGCAAGCCAGGACCTGTTTTCATATTTATTCAAAATTCCTGTTCTTCTTGAAGATTTCTCAAGGAGCACTAAAGCTTATACCAAGCTTTCTATTTTCAAAGCCTTTTATATTTAATTCAGCTCATGTCATGCTAATTTTGCTTTTTGCGACCTGCGGAAACAACTTTGAAGACAACGACCACAAAATTTAAAATCCTCAAAGTTGTTACAGAAACCTGCACCACCTGGATATAATGTTAGAGAAAGACCCCACTGAACGATCCAGAACATGAATAATCATAGTTTGGTCAAATGCATTTTAAGACATAGGGAAGTGAAATTTCATCACCAAAGCGTTTTTGGCCACTCTGGGCAGAGTGGAATATTTGCATCTTTCTTGTTTTTGTTATTTGCAGATATCCAACTCAGCCCTGCCGCTTTGGGAAGCTGCTCCTACTTCTACCAGCTCTGCGGTCAGTCAGCCCATCCACCATAGAAGAAGTATTTTTCAAGAAGACCATCGGGAACGTGCCCATCACAAGACTCCTCTCTGACATGTACAAATCAAGCGATATATGAGTTTATTTCCACCACATCAACATTACGCGCACTAGCCAAGAGTGTCTGATAAGGCTCACAGACACAAACATTTGAATGAGCACGTGGCAAATTGAACTTGAAGAACATAAAAACCTTGATTTGACCAATCTTTGGGTTAGCCTTACGTTTTGAGGATGTATACTGAACAAAAATATAAACGGAACATGTGTTGGTACCATATTTCATGAGCTGACATAAAAGATCCCAGAATTTTTCCATACGCTCAAAAAGCTTATTTCTCTCAAATTTTGAACACAAATTTGTTTGCATCCCTGTTAGTGAGCAAGTTAATCCACTTTTCCAAGTTAATCCACCCACATGACTGGTGTGGCATATCAAGAAGCTGATTAAACAGCATGTTCATTAAACAGGTGCACCTTGTGCTGGGGACAATAAAAATACACTCTACAATGTGCAGTTTTGTCACACAACACAATGCCACAGATGTCTCAAGTTCTGAGGGAGCGTGCAATTGGCATGTTGACTGCAGAAATGTCAACCAGAGCTGTTGCCAGATAATTAAATGTTTATTTCTCTACCATAAGCCGCCTCCAACGTCATTTTAGAGAATTTGGCAGTACGTCCAAGGCAGGCTTCACAACCGCAGACCACATGTAACCACGCCAGCCCAGGACCTCCATATCCGGCTTCTTCACCTGCGGGATCGTCTGAGACCAGCCACTCAGACAGCTGATGAAACTGAGGAGTAGTTCTGTCTGTAAAAAAAAAACTCATTCTGATTGGCTGGGCCTGGCTTCCCAGTGGGTGGGCCTATGCCCTCCCAGGCCCACCCATGGCTGCGGTCCTGCCCAGTCATGTGAAATCCATATATTAGGGCCTAATGAATTCATTTCAATTGACTGATTTCTTTATATGAACTGTGACTCAGTAAAATCGTTGAAATTGTTGCATTTATATTTTTGTTCAGTATAATGTCCCTAATAGAATTGCCTAGCCAATTTAAGTAGGCTACAATTTCACAAAATACTGCAATCTCTGGTTTACACAAAATAAGGACATTCTTTAGTTGAAATGAGCCATCTGTGCGCAATTGATGAACCTTTAAAATGTAGAGATGTTTTTGAGTGTCTCTAAGACCAATGAGCTTTACGACCAATGCCCTTTCAATCTTTTATTGCAATGTTCAATCTGATCGAATGGAAGAAACCAAAAAAGATGATTCGCAGCACGAGCCACGGTCAGATGTGCAATGGGTTGCTGTCCCTTTGACTCAATGCTGAAACCAAAGGCCGTGAAGCGTCACAACTGCCTCCATGAATATGAGGGGCCACCTCCTCAAGGTAGGACAACGCTGACTGTCCTCTATTAGCTTGTGTGATGATCCCATACAAGAGAGGATTGAGAGGTACGAGTACTTGACAAATGCTACCCTAGAATGGAGAAATAAAACAACTAATTGGTATGTGCAGGTTTCAGTGTTCAAGGCTGAGTGAAATGTTGCCTGTTTGCGTTTGTGTGTCAGTGTGTGGGGAAGCATTAAAATGATTAGGCCTACTTTCTGTGAAGTTAGACACTAACACTGGAAAAAAATATTCAGCACTTGGATTTGAGGATTTTGTTGTTGGCTGTAAATATTTTTCTCTGTTGTACAAAGTGGGAGTTTTAATCTTGTGAGAGTTGTACTGAAATATATTAGAAGAATAAATGATATTCAAATATGGGTGTCCCAAATTGTCATTTAGTTACCCTATACCACAATGTTTGTGAAATTGATTTACATTTCTTTTTTGACTAAATATGCTTCCCAGCTCTCTCAGGTACAGTGCCTTCAGAAAGTATTCATAACCCTTGACTTATTCCACATTTTGTTGTGTTACAGTCGGAATTCAAAATGGATTAAATATATACCCCATATAACACCCCATATAATGAAAAAGTGAAAACATGTTTTTAGAAATGTTTGCAAATGTCTTGAACATACATAAATATCTCATTTACATACAGTACCATTGTTTCTCTTTGCTTATTTAAGCTGTTCTTGCCATAATATGGACTTGGTCTTTTACCAAATAGGGATATCTTCTGTATACCACCCCTACCTTGTCACAACACAACTGATTGGCTCAAACGCATTAAGAAGGAAAGAAATTCCACAAATTAACTTTTAAGAAGGCACACCTGTTAATTGAAATGCATTCCAGGTGACTATCTCATGAAGCTGGTTGAGAGAATGCCAAGAGCTGTCGTCAAGACAAAGCGTGGCTATTTGAAGAATGTCAAATATAAAATATATTTAGATTTGTTTAACACTTTCTTGGTTACTACATGATTCCATAGGTCCTTTCCGGTGACAAGCATATCCATAACATGATGCAGTATGAAAAATGTATGCACTCACTAACTGTAAGTCGCTCTGGATAAGAGCGTCTGCTAAATGACTAAAATGTAAAAATGTAAATGTGTTATTTCATAGTTTTGATGTCTTCACTATTATTCTACAATGTAGAAAATAGTAAAAATAAAGAAAAACCCTTGAATGAGTAGGTGTCCAAACATTTGACTGGTACTGTAAGTATTCACAACCCTTTTGCGGCGATTACAGCTGTGAGTCTTTTTGGGTAAGTCTCTAAGAGCTTTGCACATCTGGATTGTACAATATTTGCCAATTATTCTTCAAGCTCTTTCTAGTTGATTGTTGATCATTGCTAGACAGACATTTTCAAGTCTTGCCATAGATTTTTAAGCCGATTTAAGTCAGAACTGTAACTAGGCCACTTAAGAACATTCAATGTCGTCTTGGCAAGCAACTGCAGTGTAGATTTGGCCTTGTGTTTTAGGTTATTGTCCTGCTGAAAAGTGAATTTGTCTCCCAGTGTCTGTTGGAAAGCAGACCGAACCAGGTTTTCCTCTAGGATCTTGCTTGTGCGTATAGCTGTATTCCATTTATTTTTATCCAAAAAAAAACTCCCTGGTCCTTTCCGGTGACAAGCATACCCATAACATTATGCAGCCACCACCATGCTTGAAAATATGAAGAGTGGTACTCAGTGATTGAATTTGCCCCAGACATAACGCTTTGTATTCAGCATAAAAAGTTAATTTCTTTGCCACATTTTTGCAGTATTACTTAAGCACCTTGCTGTAAACAGGATGCATGTTTTGGAATATTTTTATTATGTACAGGTTTCCTTCTTTTCACTCTGTCATTTAGGTTAGTATTGTGGTTATGTTGTTGATCCATCCTCAGTTCTCATATCACAACTGTTAAACTCTGTAACTATTTTAAAATCACCATTGGCCACATCGTGAAATCCCTGAGCAGTTTCCTTCCTCTCCGGCAACTGAGTTAGGAAGGACGCCTGTATCTTTGTAGTGACTGGGTGCATTATTACACCATCCAAAGCCTAATTAATAACTTCACCATGTTCAAAGGGATATTCAGTGTCTGCTTTTTTTACATATCTACCAATCGGTGCCCTTCTTTGCGAGGCATTGAAAAACCTTCCTGGTCTTTGAGGTTGAATCTGTGCTTGAAATTCACTACAGGATTGAGGGACCTTACAGATAGTTATGTGTGGGGTACAGAGATGGGGTAGTAATTCAAAAATCTGGTTAACCAGTATTATTGAATACATAATGAGTCCATGCAACTTATGCGATTTGTTAAACACATTTTTACTCCTGAACTTATTTAGGCTTGCCATAACAAAAGGGTTGAAAACTTATTGACTCAAGACATTTCAGCTTTTAATTTTAAAAAATGTCTGCAAACAAAATTTTACTTTGACATTATGGAGTATATTGTGTAGATCAGTGACACAAAATCTAAATTTAATCTAGTTTAAATTCAAGCTGTCACACAACAAAATATGGAAAAAGTAAAGGCACTTTACAAGGCAGTTTTGGAATCCAAAATCACTTGAGCATGACCCACAATGAAGGTTACAATTCCCTGAAACTCCAGTGAGAACAAATGCCATTGGTTTTAAAGCTAGGCTGCAGTAAAGTGCACATTGAGCCATGACCAATGCAATGCCCCAGATGCAATAATACATTTGCTCAGGGGTTTCAAGTGTTGTCTGATGAATCAAGGGCTTTACCTTTAATTGCGTTTCATATTCAGTATAATGATTGAAAAAACCTCAAGCACAATTAAAAACATCATTAGTAGCAGTCAATGTCGTTCAATCCAATTAAAGTGAAGCAAAACAGGGTTCAGCAAGCTATCTACCATGGTTGCCATTGACAGGGGGATCTAACCTCTGTATATCAGAAGCAGCATGGACCAATGTGTGTGTCTATTCACTGAAATCTTTACTCAGGAAAAACATGACAACGCATCACCTCATGCGTATGAGTGAGTTTGACCTGTTTTATTGGAAAATGTTCTAAATAAACTAAATGGCACAGCAGTATACACATTTCATAAACGCACGGTCAGTTGGTAGAAATGCTGTGGGGTTCCCCTCTCTGGTGCATTTTCTCATTATAAAATAATTTACAGGCTAACTAAAAGGGGAAGTGCTGGCTGGTAGTACACACAGAGACACACATGCTTCAGTTTATGGTAGGGATGGACCGTCTACAAAGTGTGATTTTCAGAGTCAGGGACAAAGTGTGCCAAGTCACAGTTATGGTGGTGAGGACAATCATTCCAATTGGACATTGAATAGAAACAACAGTGTGTAATGTATGGGGTTTCAACATGAGGATTGCATACATGGAAAGGTATTTTTTTATATATTTCTTTAAAAATGAAAATATCCAAGACATACCTCACTGATAAATATAGATAACATACTGTAAAACACCCAAGTTCGTGGCGTTGAGACAACAAAAACGATATATTATTTTCAACCACAGTTATTACACGTAGACCATTTCCTAGTTTGATCCAATTGAGAGTTGAAAACGAGCACTACATGAGATCACTAATCAAAACGGAGATAAAAGACAAAGAAAGAAGAAAAGTGATTGCAAACAAAAGAAGAGTGAAGAAGATCTTACAAGTGTTTGTGGTCGGAGCAGAGCAGGACCGTTAGCAGTAGAGAGAGCCGGGGCCTGGCTGAGGATAGACCAGGGCCGAGAGTGGCCCGGGGCTGGCCCGTGTGGTGGCCCTTGTCTTAGGCTTGTCGTATTTTGGAGGGGGTATAGGTTTTGTCCACAGACTCATCCTGTAGAAACATGTGCAGACAGCGCTCGTTCTGGGCCAAGGGGTGACCAGCCACTCTGAAACACAAAACAGGGAGAGACACAGAGGTTACAAGTGGTTATGAATTCATGTTGTTACAGTCTGTCTGACATGGCCACAAAGTACATGGTAACAAAGAACACATTTTGTACATTCTTTTTTTTCCTGGAGAAAAATCTCTAAATACATTCTTTACCATAATGACTTCCTTACTTAATCCTCTTCGTTCCTATGTGGAACATAAGGCTTCCATGAGAGAGTGCCATGAGAGAGATTGACCATAATAGGACAGTATTAAAGTACTGTGTAAAGTGTTGTCAAAAGTTAAGCAAAATGTGCCCACATTTTCAGCAGGTTTGTTTTGTCCAAATGGTCAGATCAGGTGTATTTAGAAGACCACTGACCTATGTATGATGGAATTGAGAGGGGAACAGGGAACACCTTTACTAAATGTTATTTTACATTCATACTGTCCCCATGTCACATCTGGAGCAGGAGGCAGAGAATTTGATAGAGAGGAAAGTATTCTGGGAAGCTGCTCATAATTACCATCAAGGTCAGGGAGAGGGATGGAGAGAGAGAGAAAGAAAGAAAGATGGAGGGGGGGAAGCAAAGGAGAACAAGGGAGCAAAAACGTGAAAGGGCACCTGAGACCAAAAAAAAATCTACTTCCTCTTAACAGACCAATTTCCCATGACAGACATACTCTCATCATCCTGTGTACTCAGCTACATTCTTAAATGGGAAATATTTCTGAAGGGCAAGCATGACCCCAAGGGTTCATGTACAGCAGAAACATTGTGGAGGATTTGAGGAGGCTTCCATTTGCCATTAGATGAGCATGTTGAGCCCCCCCTCCCGACACTCCATGCATGACTCAATCAAAACTGACATTTTTTTATGGGGTTCAATTAAACTGTAAATAAGCTGGCCCCTGGTCACACACAACCCTGTCCCCACTCCTCCATCCTAACTCTGACCGTATTCACACATTTTGTTTTTGAACAATATGGCCAGCGAACTTCCCTTGTGCTGTTCTCTCCCCTCTGCTGGGTTGTTTAGAAGTGATAACCATGTTTACCTCTAGGTAAAAGGTTCTCTCCACAATATACTCAATCACAGTTCATAACAGCAGAGCGAACCAACTCCACTCCGCTGTGCAGCTATTAAGTCTGAACAATGCCATGATCAACAGCAGTGTTTAATTTGAGGGAAAAAAATATTAATTACCAACACATTCTTCGCTCTTTCGAATAAAAAACAATTTCTTCTCTCTCGCCACAGTCTTTTAGCGTACTTAATATTCTAACAGGTATAATTTGCACATGAAACAAAGATAATAGCCAAGTCTGCAATCAAAGCAAATAATAACAGCCCCACTGTAACTTTTATTGTTCTCTACGTGGGGGTGAGAACACCTTGGGTAAAAAATAAGCAGGGGTGCACACACCATCCATCAAGGAACCGCTCGCTGTAATTTGAGACTCAATTATCATAAATTACACATTTAAGATAAAACTAATTTATGAAAAAAACAAGTACTAAGGGACGCACTTGCAGCCTCTTGTTCCTTTAACAGGCAATTATGAAGGAGAATGAAGGAGTAGAGATGGGGAGATGTCCTGCTGTATGTGTACAGTCTTAACGATGCCAAGAAAGATGAGAGAAAATCTGATTTATGTTAAATGTTTCATAGGCTCCTAAGGTTAAGATTGAGCCAAGAGTGACTGCATTGAAATGTTTAACAAACACACACGCCTACATGTACGCTCCCACACACACCTGACATCAATCAAAAAGTAGTAATAAATCGCAACACAGCACAACATCCAGGTTCTGTCTGTGTAGGATCTTGTCTGTGTAGACTCACTTGTTGAGGAACTGCTCCAGCCCAGCTCTCCGCTCCTCGATGAAAGAATCGTCAAATATCCCATCGTCCCCTCGGAACGGCAGCTGTCTGAACAGAGCCTTCCCTGGGAGAGGGGGTACCACCACCTGAGAGGGACACACACATGTTAACAAGTTCAAATCTTGTATCAGTTATATTGTTGTCTTTATCTCTTGGGTTTGATTAAATTATTCCTGTGTAAAGTGTATTGAGACTTGTAAACCCCCAGAGGGCTCACCTTGCTGTCTCTCTCCAGCTCCCCTCTGAGCCACTCAAAGTCGCTGTACCGTCTCCGCACACGAGACTCCTTCAGCTTGAAGATGGGCAGGTTGGTCTGAAACAGAGAGAAATCAGGCTTAGGGGAACCAGAGCTAACATACTGTATAAGGGTAGCATAAATTGAAGGGTAACGAAAGACTGAGGTCAGAGAGTTCGAGTATAAAGAACACTAGGGATCAGTCCAAGAGAGTTTGAACTAAACCATGATCTTATCGAGTGGAAAGTTGGCTACATTGTCGATTGAGTCAGTGATAGATTATATTGATACTAAACATGTATAAAGCTTTTTTCACTAGGTCTCATAGCACACTGTATGTTACCATCAACCCATCCACCACCAATGAGTAGTTCAGACAGAAAACACCACGTATTCGTTTAACCATTTATTAGAAAGTAAATGATAATAGCTATACCAGTCCCCCCCGACTGAAACAAAAGCAGAGGCAAACAGGTGGAGGCTGGGGTGGCGGCGGGCTAGCAGAAAACAGACATGCATAGTGAGTAACACGTTACAGCAACAGCATGTCACCAAGAAACACCAACACATAACTTGCACGTGGCAACCATCAGAGGATGTGCAGAAATTGGTCAACTAAATATAGTGCCATATTAAGGTAGAGTGATGAATCACTCAGGTTTCCTGTCTGAACTGGCTACGCTTCATTAACCTGAGTGAATCACAGCCACCATTTTGTACCAGAGACACTCACCACACACTAGCTATGAGAGTGGAGAGTAGATGCGGAGTGAATGACCCACGCTTGCCATTGTGGCGTTTGGGCCTATCCTTGTGTGAAGCCCTCTGTGGCAAATGACTTAAGAGCCATACAAATAGAAATTCAATTGGAAATACTGTATTGAGGACTGAAAAATAAAAAAAAGTTATCATACTGCTCACCAAGCTCTGATGCACTTTGGATTACCTTAGAGATAGAGAGAAAGTGGACAGTAGGTGTGGTGACCGGACTCTTAAAGAAATGTAAGTTGCTGTTTAAAGAGCACTGGAGAGTAGATTTCATTAAATGTTTCACTGAAGCGAACTGCAGCACATTAGAATACAATGCCAAAGCTCTTCACCTGTCAAGAAACCAGCATCCGGCGGCCATTCTAGCAACAATACACAGCCGGGAGGAAAGAAAATAAATTTCCTCATAGATGGACGACAATCACAGAAGGTCAGAATTCATGGAGAGCCACAAGAGCAGAACCATTGAGCAGTTGGTATTGGTATTTATTAGGATCCTCATTAGTCACTGCAAAAGCAGCAGCTACTCTTCCTGGGGTCCACATGAAACATGACATAATACATAGTACAGAAAATTATTAGTAAAGGACTGAACTACACTGAACAAAAATATAAACGCAACATGTAAAGTGTTGGTCCCATGTTTCACGGGCTGAAATACAACATCCCAGACATTTTCCATATGCACAAAAAGCTTATTTATCTCAAATTTGTTTACATCCTTGTTAGTGAGCATTTCTCCTTTGCCAAGATAATCCATCCCCCTGACAGGTGTGGCATATCAAGAATCTGATTAAACAGCATGATCATTACACAGGTGCACCTTGTGCTGGAGACAATAAAATGACACAAAAATGTGCATGTTTTGTCACACAACACAATGCCACAGATGTCTCATGTTTTGAGGGAGCGTGCAATTGGCATGTTGACTGCAGAAATGTCAACCAGAGCTGTTGCCAGAGAATTAAATGTTTATTTCTCTACCATAAGCCACCTCCAACGTCGTTTTAGAGAATTTCGACGTTTTAGAGAATGTGGCAGTACGTCCAACCGTCCTCACAACCGCAGACCACGTGTATGGCGTCGTGTGGGCGAGCGGTTTGCTGATGTCAACTTTGTGAACAGAGTGCCCCATGGTGGCGGTGGGGTTATGGTATGGGCAGACATAAGCTACGGACAACTAACACAATTGCATTTTATTGATGGCAATTTGAATGCACAAAAATACCATTACGACATGCTGAGGCTCATTGTGAGGCCCATTTTTTTATGGTATCTGTGACCAACAGATGCATATCTGTATTCCCAGTCATGTGAAATCCATTGATTAGGGCCTAATGAATTTATTTCAATTGACTGATTTCCTCATATGAACTGTAACTCAGTAAAATCAATGAAATTGTTGCATGTTGCATTTATATTTTTGTTCAGTATACATTTCAAATGTCACACATAGCTTACATATCAGCACATACACGTGATATCTAGGTCTAATCTATAATACAGTGCTAATTAAAATACAAGATATATAAAATGGCTGTGTCTCTTCACAGTCCCTTTTGTGCAGTAAGGTATTCTTTTATCTGGTTTTATTGCTAGCTTGAGTTACCTGGGTGGCAGAGAGTTCCATGTAGTCATGGCTCTATTTAATACTGTGCGTTTCCCAGCCTCTGTTCTGGACCTGGGGACTGTGAAGAGACCTCTGGTTGCATGTCTTGTGTTGTACCGATGAGTGTCCGAACTGTGTGCCAACTGCTTGAACAGACAGTTCGGTAACTTCTACACATCAATACTTCGCACAAAGACCAATAGTGATGCAGTCAATCTCTCCTCAACTTTGAGCCAGGAGAGATTGACATGCATGTTACTGACATTTCCCTCCGTGTACATCTAAGTGTGATACGTGCTGCTTTGTTCTGGACCAACTGCAATTTACCTATGTCCCTCTTTGCCGCACATGACCACACAGCTGGGCAGTAGTCCAGGTGCGACAAAACTACGGCCTGTAGGACCTGTCTGGTCAACTGAGATGTCAAGAATGCAAAGCATGGACAGACCTCTTCCCATTTTAGCAACCATTGAGTCTAAATGTTTTGACCATGACAGCTTGCTATCTAGTTGGATGGATGCGGGGCGATGTGTGTGAGCAGAGGCGAACTGATTGATGAGCAGGAGAATGAAGGAGTGTGTGATAAAAAGATGGATAGGTAACTGGCGGGCAGAGCAAATGGATGAATAAATGGGGGTATGAGGGGGGTACGGACTGTGGGGGACTAATTGAGCAGACATGGCCTTTTGGTCCTCATGGTCTCCCTCTCTCCCTCCTCTTCATATTTTCCCTCTCTCTCCTAGAATAAGTCAGTGTTTTGCCCTTGAAACCCCTCTTGAGTCTTTTCACTGTGAAAAACACAGGCCTCTCCTCTTCTGTCCTCTCTTCTCCGCTTGGTCCTCTCTCTATCCCCCCCCCCTCCCTTTTAACTCCCTCGGTCCTCCCTTCTCCTCTCTTTAAAATTATGGATGTTTCTCCTCTATGGTAATGAGAAGTAGAAGAGAGAGACATCTTTTGGCAGGCTTAACAACAAATTAAAGTTATTTGACAATAACAATAGCTTCTTTTTTTTAAGATGCACTATGCAGAAATCTCTTCACCATTTCCTGGCTGCTAAAATTCAAATAGTTTTCCTAATTTCATGTGACAAAACGAGGAAGTATAATGTAGAGAATCATTGTACCATCTAAACCGCTGTGAAATATATTTTCCATAATCAAAAATATTGTATTTTCAGCTGTTTGAAGCTGGTGTACAAAACCAAAAGTTAAGACACAAAAACGAAAAGCATAGAAATAGCGCACATAGAACAGATCGACCACTTCTTAGACATGCTTTCAATGATAATGACAGATCTAACACACATTTCTATGTGAATTTGGTCAGCTCGCTCAAAAAGTTACATATTGCAGCTTTAATAGGCCATTGCTGCAAATAGAGAGTTTTCACCCCCACCCACCCCTCCAGAAACCTCTTTCTCAAAGCTAAGGATCCGGATCATGTTCTGCGCATGTCTTATTTTACACACACATACGTAGTTGCTGTTCACAATCCCCCTCCCTTCACGCACCGCTCTTTACTCACCCTCTTCTGAACTACGATGTAGCCTGTCTCTGCCTAATATTTCTGATCAGCAAAAATAAAAACCCTGCGGCGATTTGAACAAACATTCCAAGAAATGGCTATACAACCTTCTCTGTCTGTTGCTCAAGCAGGACGCAGTCCCTAAACATTGCATTGTAGCAAAAATATTCAGCATTTTGTGTGATGATGTAGGCTAATCTTTATAGTTGCTGCCATATCGTAGCCACTAGCGACTAGTTTCGGAAAAAATAACACTACTACTTTGACTGCTTGTGTGCCTCCTGCTTAGCCAATGCTTGCAATGATGATGAGGAAATAACATTAATTCGCTAATTAGATTGCGTGTGTCGTATCGGGTGAATGGTGGCAATTATTGCTGATAAACAAAGGAGTCCGCTCATACTGAACTTTGATCATAAGGTTTATTCAGATCACAAGCTTCAGCATAAGTGACAGATGTCATGACATCCGGAGAGCGACGCCTCAGAATGGCCGCTCTGCCTCTCTTTGTCTAGCCCCTTACTTATAAACAATGCAAAAAGATGGGTGGCTCCCTCTTCTGGCCAATCACCAGTCTCCCCTGGGGCGTCACCCTCCAAACGGCTACATTCAAACTTAAGATAAACAGTTCTTCTTTGTCCCTCAAGACTAGTCATAATCGTCATACACGACACGTGTCTGTGTCTTGCTTGTGTTTAATATGCTGCCTAGATAGCTGCATTTAACTCGCCACTTGAGTTTTGCATTGGGGCAAAAAACGATCTGCGTTTTAACCACACACAGGGCCTACTAAATGCTATTTTGCTTCTTAATGATCATGCAAGCACCGCACGAATATGATACCTAGCTATTCCTCTGGGCAGCCAAACCTTCTAGGCAGCCGAACGTGTATCTGGACCGGTAACCACAGTCTGACAATGGGCGAGTTTGTTTTGCGTCGTCCGGTGCGCTATTATTCCTTACGTCGTTTGTCAACTACTGCATTAGATTGCTTACTATTTGTGATCATAATCTTCATAGAGTTATGATGCAATATCGTAGTAAGAGTTGCTGAAAAAAATAACTAGCCAATGTTTGCAATGATCATGAGAAAATAACATTAAATCGCTATTTTGACTGCCTGTCTGTGTCTTGCTTGTGTTTGATATGCTTGCTTAAATATGTTTGCCGAAAACCAGCCCTAGGCAATACAGGCTGC